GGACCTCTGGAGATCATCTCGTTCAACCCCTGCTAAAGGAGGGCCTTACAGTTTGTGGAGGGTTTCAGGTATCTCCAGAGAAGGAGAGTCCACAGCCTCTCTGGGCATCCTGCTCCAGTGCACTGTCATTTTCATATTAAAGAAGTTCTTTCTCATGTTCATTCTCATATTAAAGAAATTCTTTCTCATGTTCAGATGGAACTTCCTATGCATTGCCCCTTGTCCTGTAACTGGGCATTCCTGAAGAGAACCTGGTCCCATCCATTTCACTCCCACCCTTTAGGTATTTACAGGCACTTATCAGATCGCCCCATCTTCCCTCCTTCAAGCTGAACAGCCCCAGATCTCTCAGCTTTCCCTCTTACAGGAGATGCTCCAGGCCCTCATTTGTAGCATTCCACTGGACTTTCTCCAGCAGTTTCTTGTCTTTCTTAAACTGAGGAGCCTGGAATTGACAAGGTACTCCAGCTGTGGCCTCCCCAGGGAAGAGCAGAGAGGAAGGAGAACCTATGGGATGTGGGTTCCCAGCCAATATTTCTGGCCCTAGGTCAGACTGGACAGGGCTATGAGCACCTGATGGAGCTGTAGGCAACCCTGCTCATTGCAGGGGAGTTGGACTAGATGACCTTTAAGGGTTTCTTGCAACTTGAACAATTCTGTCATTCTATGATTTCTGCAGCAGCCCCTATCAGTCGCTGCAGCAATACATAACCCCCTCCAGCTTCTCACCCTTTCTTCCCCGCAGAGGATGTAATTGCTGGCAAAGCAAAGCTACCCCCACAAAATAGCTTTGTGTTGTCTTAGACCACTACAACTTGTCCCTACTAGCTTGTCAGACAGCTGCCATGAGCTCATCAATCCCCTATGGGACATGACCCAGCATCAGCTGACCCATGTTCTTGCTCAGGGCACCCCTGTCTCCAACCAGGGTTACAGTCAGTTCAGCTCTGACATTTAATATCAATACAAACAAATGCATTAATGATCACTTTTATCTATAGCCAGATTTTGGCTAGGTAATGGCAACAACACAGTCTGCAGTTACCATTCAGCATTCAAGACCCAAAAAATCCCACCAGCGTTTCTATTGCCTGCCCCCAATATAAGATACTACCAATGCAGGGCTACAGCACCAATCTGCATGGCAGGGATGTGCATCACGTGCAGGTCAGGAGGTCTCAGGCTTATCAGTATCGGCCTGGTCAGTCCCCTCCTTCCCCCTGCACGGTGTTGGCATTGCATGTGGCTCAATAGATGCTGTATGGGTGTTGGGACGAGCACGTTTCTCACAGTGCTCTGTCGGCACCCCGAGCACACAAAGGGGATTTTTGCCTCTCTGAAGCAGAACATTTTCAGAATAACAGGGATCAGTTCAGACTCCTTAAACTTTGATCAGAGCAGGGACAATAAATCTGATTGCTTTTCAACTGCAAAATAGAAACTTTCATAAAAATAACACTGAATTTTTCACATACCCTTGTCTTTATCAGGAGAGCAATCTGGTCAGTAAGATACAACCACCATCACAAACAGGATCCCAAACATATTTAAAGAGCAAAGAGCCTCTCTCTGCAGTTGGGTGACAATGGTGCTTCATTCGGATCTGCTTTCCAAATACTTACACAGCATCCCCTTCCAATCACAACATGCCACTTTGAAATGCCAGTATCACTTAGCTCCTGAGTCTATTAGACCATGAAACAATAAACCCAGAGATACAAAAATAACTCAGATACCTACTTTAGCACCCAGTTGAGTTGGCAGGTGTTATCCTGATGGCTCCGTGGCAAAAGCATCCTCAGAAGTGCCATATCTTGACCTTTGTGCAGCAGGCATCATGAAGCCGATCTCCAGAAACCACGGTGTCTTCCCAAAAGGTGCTAATATTAACTATAGCCCTTTGTTTCTTTGCACTCAAGGTTTCTCCCCGTCAGCTTTCTGGCATTTGCCAGTGCGATGCACGCTTTATTGGGCAGATATTGAGCTGCAAATTCCTTCATACTTCTCCATCCGCAGCATTCTGCAGCTAAAGCACTAACCAGCCAGCAGATGAAAATGCCACTTGCTGCTTATTCCTGCTGCAGTTTGTTGAATTAAAACCTCTTTGTTTGCAAGCTGTAAACAAATTCTTCTTAATCTTTCAATAAAAAATGTCAATTATGCTCTCTAACAATGAAACTTCACTGCAGTGAAAGAGGGCATTGCTATTGCTCTAGTCATGATAACATATCAGCTGCTTTTAGAGTCAATTCCTTTTTGTACAAAATGTAATGACCGTGCAATTATTCAAATTTCAGACTAACAGACCCACAGTGCTACTCCCCTGCTCTTCAAACACAGCCTTGAAAGCAACAGAAAAGTCTCTAGAGTACAGGTTCCGAGCTCAGAATACAAAACACCTTTAAAATTCATTCAGTACAGCCAGTATCGGGCCCTCGTTAAACACAGCTACTTCAGTGGAGAGCCAAAAAAGAAAGCCAGATCTTCAGCACGTTATTGCAGGCACTTCTCAGGCCCATGGCCTTCATTTGGCTTTGCTGGGGGCCGTGTTTATCTGCAGCTTCCCCGTCTCTCTCCAGTTTCGGTGCATTTCCTGCAGAATTGCTGGCCACAGCAGATGCGCCCTTCGGGCATTTCAACTTTTTTTTTTCCTCATGCCACTATTTATCCCATTTGTTTCCAGAATCAGCCGCAGCTCTCAGATCAGCATCTGTAACTTTCCGCTGTGAAGCATTCAGGACAGGCCTGCTGCGAAAGCTTCCTCCTCCTTCACCTGCTCAGCCCCTCACCGACTCCTGCTCCATGGACTCCTGCTCCATGCCCTCCCGCCGTCCATTTTCTCCTCCTGCAGAGAGCTCCCCCCTACAACACAGTTGTCCATCAGCAGCTGCTCTGCTCCATTAACCGCTTGTGCCCCAACAACCATTCTTGCCATCCTAACCATGCTCTATGTATGTTGGCATGCATCCACAGCCAGAGCAGCCTCGGTTCGCCCATAAGGTGCCTTTTCCCCATTGTCGAGACAGTGTGTGCCTCCCAGCTTTCTGTACTGGCACAGTACTTTCTGTACAGACTGTCTCTGTGGCTCCCAGGAGGGGCCACAGCCGGCAGCGAGGGGGACGATCCTCTCCAGCAACCTCATGGGAGTTCTCTTGGTCCCATAGCTAAACAGATGGCCCAGTATCACGACCATATGGCCACCCTATAGGAAAGAGGACTTCCCAGGGCCTCTCCAGATGCACAGAAACCTTTGGCAAGCCAAAGTTACATATAGCAGGCACAAAAATATTGCACTGAATCAGCAGCACCGGTGTTCTGAGAGTTGAAGCCTGGTATTTTGTATATGTCCAAGGCTGGGTGCAACTTCACACTTCTGAGTCCCAATGAATGAGAAGGGTTCTGATACAACAACCACCCTGCTCCTCCTTCCCCTGTTATCCTACTCACAAAACAATACAAATCTGAGCCAAATAACTTAGTTACCTCCCTTAATTGTCCTTGCAATTTGCTGCTTGTAACACATCACATCTTGTATTGCTGTTACCTTTTTTCCCCATTACTGTGACTTAAAGTTGCTCCAAACTGCAGTAACAAATCTATAGGAAGTTCTGACTGCTGATGTGCCATACTCCTCTCACATCCCCCCCTTCTTCTCCAAACAGCTTTTATCCTTTCCAACAAAAAGGAAAAAAGACGTGGTGGCAGTGAAACAGACTGTCTTCCTCCACTCCCACCCACTCCCAGGATAAAACCAAAGTACACTGGCACTTCCCTCTCAGATACGCATTGACCATCACCTTTACACACTTTCAGTGTGTGCCTACAGTGTACTGGGATCAACCAGAGAGGAGAAAAAGTTAATTAAACTTCTGGTGTTTTTATACACCCAGAGACTGGAGGCAGTGCTAGGGCAAAGCAGGCACTGATTTCCCTGCCTCTGCACATCACAAACAGGATTTTCACACTCAAGAGCAGGAATAGTTTTGTATTTTTGTTCACTTGTGGGTTTCTTTTGGTTGGTTTGTTTATTATGTATTATTTTTTAAGAATCACTTGACAAGCTACCCAATGGACAAGTCTGGGAAATGCTCCTGGTGGGCCTCAATGACGCTTCAAGGCAGTGCAGATGCCTTCCAGAGGATCATGAGGGGTATGGCTTAGTGGGCATGGTGGTGATGGGGTGATGGTTGGATCTCACGATCTTAGTGGTCTTTTCCAATCTTAATGATTCAAAGATCATATGATTAAGTGTAATTGTACCTGGCTGGACAGCACTCACCAAGCCCCCCTTCCTCCCTTCTCCATGCAGCACAAAGCTGATGTTGTATCTGAGACCCCCAAACAAGAGCCAGCTCATTTCAACATAACCAAAGAAACAAGTTACAACAAGACTTTCATTCTGATATTGTCTACATTTCACTCCTTTGCGCTAATCTGCTAATCCTATAATACTGACTTCCCAAGAATGGAGATTATGCTAATCAGGCTTTACACATGATCCTATATTTACTTTTGCACTGACAAGAGGAACATGTCACCAGTGAGCTGCTACTGCATTTTCTCTGGATTACGAGTCAAGCATCAGCGCTGTCCAAACCTACAGCCACTGAAATGCTCCTCTAGCAAGCAAACCAATGTATTAAGGATCACTATTTCACTGCAGCTGAAAGGGTAACCACAATACCCTGCTGGGAGTTTCTAGAAGGCAAAAACCTTTATTTCTCGACTCAGTAATACTTCTGCCATGCTCACACCTGGTGTGGTGGTTCAAAGGTCTTCCATTTTTCCAAAATCAAACACAGGACTCAGAGCTGAAAAATGATGTTCATGTCTTCAAGAGGCAACAAAACAAAAGAGTAAATTCTAGAAGTACCAAACATATGGACTGGAACAAAATCCCACAAAACCCACAGAAGTGAAATATCATGAGAATACCAGAAAACAGTAGAAACGCACATCTAAAATGTGAAACTGGAAGAATCTCGTTTTATTTTACATTAATTAACAATTTTATGCAACCAATTGTGCTATGTTTTTCAGAATATCTTTCATAGTTAATGGGAGGCCTCCACCTTTGATTTTAAAACAGGGCTTCTGAGTCACCACATAAAACACGTAGAGAAAGATTTAGGTTTGGTGGCTTAAAATCCGTAGAAGACAGTATGCAAGTTCGCATTACTCCTTGAGTTTCCACACATCAACACTATCAGGGACACGAGTGCTGCATCCTCCCAGCCCAGATGCCATCTCCCTGCCCAGCAGACATGTTAGCAGACCCATGGGGCAGCTGCCTGAGTTTGCAGCAACCTGCAGGAAAGGCAGGAACATGCATGTCCTGGGCCTTAGGGACTGCAACATGAGCTGTAAGTCACCAGGCACTTAGCAAGCAGCATTTCAAGTTCATGTGATCAGATTCCACACCACCCACGGATTCAACAGAAAGAAAAATAAACAAATAAACCCTGTAGACGTAAAAAGATATATATTTTTAAATCGTGTGGGCCTAATCTACTGCAGCTGAGGTATAAACTGTTGCATATTTAACTTCCCAAAAAAGACTAAAAAGAAAATTCAAAGCAATACAGATTTAAATTTCTAAAGCAAGGATCTGTGCAAGTGGTTTACCTTGTGTTGTTACAGATTTGCATTCCAGTTGTGCAGAGCAGGCTTTAGAACAGAAGTGCAATAGATCTCTGCATCATACTCACGTGGCCATCCTGGGGCAAGTCCATGTCACCTCCCTCCAGCTATAGAGGGACATATTTCACCCACGGGCGCACTTTTGCAGATTAGCACAATCCAATCCCCCGAAAGGACCCAGAAGTACACAACAAATACAAGATCTCAGAGTGCCCAGGGGAGAAACAGCCAAACCAGAAGAGCTATTTCTAGGCTCCACACAGCCCCAAGCCAGGACAGCTTTTTGCTGCACCTTGTCCCACTGAATTTAATCTGTTCATCATTAGGAAAACAGCCAGTTCCAAATAACTTTGCACCCCCTGCATAGCAAGCTTCAGTTTCTGTGACTCGGTGGATTCAGAAATAAAGACAAAATTAAAATACTAAGCTGCTTGACAGAAGGAAGAAAACAGTACATGCTACTTCATAATGTATCTCTTCTCAGTTGCCCTCCCTGCACAGAGGGAGCTCTGTATGGTGAGGAACTCCTTCTGAAAATAAAAATTATTCCCAGCTCTTATTCTTTAACCATCCTGTGGCTGCAGCACACACACAGAGATGCTGAATGTTTCTTCTAAAAAAACTACAAAACAAAAAATGTTGGTATCTTTACTTTTTATACTTGCCATTGCTAAATTTAGACCCATCGGCCTTATTACAGATTTTTATATGAATTCAGCTGCTTATCCCCTGTACAGTAGTTACTTTTGACCCATCTAAGGCTTAGGTATATTTTTGGGCCCCGCTTTCTGCTGCCTGCCTGAGTAGAAGCAAATACTCAGGCATAGAGGATGTCAGAAGATCCTGCAATACCTGAGAACAGAATAGCAAGCTCCAGACCTGCTGCTTCTCTGCACCACATTATTGTTTCAGTTTACTCTGAAATGTGTACATCAGGGGAAGGATATTTGGTGACACAAGAGCATGAGTTATTTTTCCTGGTGTTTGCAGGCCTTTGGGTAAGCTAATGATAAATTAAAAAGCGCTTTATCAGTGTAGAGGTAAATTTGGCTCCATTTAGGTCCTGTCTGAAAGCCACTTTTGTAATAACCACAATGCTGCAGAGTACTGTTATACATAGATTTAAAGAAAGTTCTGACTTGCCTGTATGTTCTTCCCACTGCTCAGAAGAGGCAGTAGGCAGAGAAGCAAAGACTCACAGCGCCACGGATTTATTTATGACAAACTGCAGACAGGCAGAGCAGCAGGCAACAGACAACAAAAAGCAAGGATAAAGTCCCTTCCACAAAATGGAAGTTATCCTCCCTCAAACAGGCATGCAGATCACTGAGTGAAAACAAATAGGAGAATTTCAGAAATCCAAATGATTCTTTTTTCCTCTCTAAAAAGCTATTTTGATGGCCCAAAGATGAGCCATTATGTTACCCTTTAGACAGATCTAATACACACGTGGCAGACCTTGTAGCTGCTTTTACATCCTCTTTTTCCCCGAGAATCAAATAAAATTACTCACAATCAAAATCCATTCAGTGCTGTTTATGTCTATGTGCACTGAAGTGCACCAAGATATTTTGGCACAAACTGATATTCTTTGGAATCACACTTCTTTTTCACTGCATCATTAAACACACTCCAGTACTTCAGGGAACTACTACATTACAATACACTCATAACCAATGTAGCTGGGTGCTGGGGAAGCATCACTGACCAAAGCCCATTCATTTTATTTACTTGCAGATTTATTGTAAAACCTGGGATGCATTAAACAAACATGTCTACTAGATATGTGCAACACTAGATCTCAACACTCCTTGAGACAGGCCAAGTCAAAACTAAAAACCACACCAAATCTATGAAACTTGTGATAGATTTGATTGCGCTACAGTAGCTTAATTAAACAATTGTAAAAATACATTGTTGGGTTTTTGGTTGGTTGGTTGGATTGGTTTTTTTTTGTTTGTCTGACTCTCCCATAGATGTTATAGATGCGCTTCAGGAAGTAGAGAATTGAGTATGTTGCAGTGTTTCAAGACATAATGGTGGGGAGAAGAAACATCAGACCTAAGAGATGTCCAAGGGACAAAAATTCACAATCCTGGCTGCTCAATAACCAGCTGCTCCCTAAAAAACAGGTACCTGTATGCTGGTGTCTGGCAAAGCTGTCTTCAATCACTTGTCAACAAATCTCTAGTGTGCATGCCTGGTAATGTTGAAATGAATTGAATTCACTTCTTATTTTTACTTCTGTCCAATATTATGCAATCTTTTTGCTACTGCAGTAATGAGAGCAGCTCCCTTCCCACTCCCATCTTCAGAAAGCATGAAAGTCACATCACACCGAGGTGCCAGTTCCTTCACTGTTTCCTGCAGGACCCTAGAAAAACTGAAAAAAAAAGGGAGAGAAGAATATTCCAGGAGTGCTTTTCTGATCCGAGACCTTTGCATTTATCTGCTGGTGAGGAACCATAACCTCAACCAACACTTTCCACTGGTTCTCCAGAGCATTCCTTTCCATTTGTTTTTTCTCCTATACAAAACAGAGACAAGTTCCTATACTCTATCAGATTTTAATTTCTGTATTTCTATTTTAATTTTCTTCAGCAACATATCAGACAGGTCTCTAGACTTTAGAGATTATGGAGAAAGCACTTCTCATGCAATGGCTTGGGTCATAAGGGACCTTAAAGCCCATCCAGTTCCAACCCCTGACATGGGCTGGCTGTCCCCCAGTAGCTCAGGCTGCCCAGGGCCCCATCCATGGCACCGTACACTTCCAGGGATGGGGCACCCACAGCTCTGGGCAGCAGTGCCAGCACCTCACCACCCTCTGAGTGAAGAATGTCTTCTTAATATCTAACCTAAATCTCAGGTTTTTTAGTTAAAGCCATTCTCCTTTGTCCTATTGTCATCTATCTGTGGAAGAGGTTGCTATCCCTCTTTTCTGTTTGTTTGTTTGTTTTCTGTACACCCCTTTCAGTACTGAGAGATCTCAATGAGGTCTCCCCAGAGCTGTCTCTTCTCCAGTCTGAACAAGCCTAGCTCCCTTAGCTCCCTTCACATGTCATGTGCTCCAGGCCTCTGGTCATCTTCATGGCTCTAAAAAGCCCACATCTTTTTTTATGCTGGTACTCATGACCTGGATGCAGTACTCCATGTTGCCTCTTCTCACAACTCTAAAGTTAATACATCTATTTCAAAGCCTTGTTCACAAAGACACTCCCAGCTCTAAAAATTCAACATTGCTTTCCTTCTGGAATACCCAGATATTGTAGAAATCCCCTAAAACACTAAAAAATAAATACTAGAAAAGTTTCCTCTGTACCCCACAGAGAAAGAGCCTTCAGCCGGTAATTGGACTTTTCTCTCCAGTTTTCAATTCTTTGCCTAGGTGAAATAAATGACAGGATACAGGGAAGCCTGTTAGATCTTTATCCTCTCTCATTTTTGACTACCTCAGAAAGAAGGCTAGTAGAAATTGGTGCATGTTCACAGTGGAAATGAGCAAACAGCAAAGGGATGGGCAACAAGGTACTCACTGTGGATGAAGCTTGTACAAAGTCCCGTCTACTCCAACGGTAATTTGCAAGTGCTCCATACCTCGGTTTTCTCTCTTCTTCTCTACAATGGCTGCCAGTCCTGCTCCACACAGCTGGGCAGCTCTCCTGGAAACAGCCCCACACACCTCTTTCACAATGATGCTGTCTTCACACGTGCTGTCGAGGCCGAGCTGCTGCAGAATCCGTCGGACTTGGAGGAGGGCGAGCCGGTCGCTGCGTAAAGGGAAACACAGGCAGCGTCACAGTATTATGGAAAGCTCTGGCAGGTACGAAAATTCTAAAGCCTTTCAGATGAGATTCTGTCATTATTCAAAGGAAATGGCACCACTGCTTCCAGTTCTCACATCCTCTGATTGTTTTAAAGCAGGTTTCAGTCCAGATCCCAAAGTTGCTCATGGCCCATTCTTTGTTATGTTCATCTATATTTCCAGTTATTCACCTAGCTCCCAATATCATGAGGAAGCTGTGTCAGATCAGTCATTTGACCGTGTTGTTCCTTAATCTAATGGCCAAGACAATACCTTCAAAGTTTTTTCAGTAGTCAAAGTGTTTCAAGCATCCCTGAGGACTGCTGTAGTCATGCACAGATAAGTAGGTAAGCACATGTTCAGGGAGTATTTATGTAACACTGATTTTTGATTAATTATTTTTAAGTATTGAAGATCTACGAAGAAAGATTCCAGATGCAGTAGTGTTTAATGGCTAAGTACTTGAAGACAACATAGCTGTGTGGAAATTAAATGATGATTCATTATTTGGGTTAAGGCTGAGGGCTTGGGGGTAAAGGAGAGAACCATAATTGATTTCGTGAAGAAAAGGGCTCCACAGTTTCACAGAAGATTATTTTTCTACAGGCCCTAAAAGACCTTGAGAAATCATAGCAAGTAAATTAATTAACTTTACCTCTCAATCTGAGATAGGAATTTTGTTTCAAATATGCCTCTTTTCCTCAGTGATTCTGAAATCTGTCCTCTGAACAGCAGTCCTTGTTTGGTCAAGTCGATCAAAATTTGCCTCACTATTTCACCTAGATACATTCCACTGGTCATTTTTTCATATCTGTTAAAATATCAAAGAAGAAAAGTGCTTTTAAAGAGGTTGCAGATTATTTAACAGGAGTGGTATGTACACATCTGATCAGCAAGATAAACTCAGGAAAGTAGTAAAACCTTCAAAAGCAATAGCCATTTTTCAACCACCAAACGAATCATTATTGAAGTTCCCTTTCAAATTATTTTCATTATTCTCATTTCATAAAGCAGTCAGTGTCTCAAAGACTCACTCAATCTGGTTCTTAGCATCAGAATCATCACATTTACCTCTGTTTCCCTGCATTTAGTGAGCCTTCATCTACTTCTTTATCGTATTTTGTTCTGATGTTGTCAATGCAGCCATTATCACCAAATCCTCCCCATTCTGTATTAATGCACATTTTTCCTTCATTCCCTTCGACTGTTTCTATGTTCTTCATGTCCTCCATGTAGCACACATTGCTACCTGTTCCTAGGAGAAAAGAAATGTCAAGAGTTCAGTCAGAAGAGTGAACTAGCACCTTAAATACAAGAAAGGTGATTACAGTGATCATCTTTAAAGCTCTTTTCTCCATTCAAAGACCTCCCCAGGTCTTAGACAAGCAGGCATTAGCAGTAATGCTTCCCTAAGTGTGCGTGCTGTACCGTATTACAACAGAAATGTTACTGAGTGAAGTGGATCCAGCACAGAATATTCCCAGTGCAGAGGAACATAGATTCCCTGTTATAGGTCAGAAATGGCTTTGGCAGCCCATTGGCAAGCACTGATCAGTCATTGCTGCCAGCTTGGTTGTAATATACCACGAACCATTTGCTAAAACAAAGAGCCGTGACATATTTACTGTTCTCATACTCTTTCACCATGCACTCAGTTACTGGGCTTCATCAGATCCTGAACCTGTTGAACTGCTGGTTTTATCTGCTGTCAGTGCTGTCTGCTCTGTTGAATACCATACAGATCTGCCAAGAATCCCAAGTGAATAGTAACACCATATATCAAACTCAAATAAAGGACATTGTTTTACAAATTCTAAACAAGTGTGTGAAGCCAAGCAGCTGCTTACAGTGGCAGTTTCAACATCACCGTACCTGCAATAAGGCCAATCTCGCAGTTTGGATCCTCATATCCACAAGTCATCATCGTCCCAACAGTGTCATTCACCACCGCTACAATGTCCAAGTCAAACTCCTGGAACACAAGTCACAGTCACCAGTGGAGTTGTGGAGAAAGAGGCATCAGGAATTAAATCATTAAGTACATCAGGAAGCTCAGAAAAGAATAGCTCACATTTCTTCTTCTGATGGCCTCCCTAAGCATATCAACAACATCTTCCCCTTCACAATCAGTTGCCTTGAATCCTTTTGTCCATCCCACAAGCGTTCCCTGAAACAGAAGAGGGAGAAAACCATAAAATGAAGATAGAGAGAAGATAAATATACCCTTTTTTCTTTGATCCTGAACTATCTTTTTTACATACCTCTTGTGTTCAAGAGGCGACTGGATGACGTGCTGCGTGATATGGTTTAGTGCTTGTGGTGGCAATGGTGATGAGGAGACGATTGGACTAGATGATCTTATAAATTGTTTCCAACCTTGTGATTCTGTGATTCTATACTGTTATTTCCCTGGCCAGGCTATAGTGAGTGCCCAGTGCAGAGTGCACGTCCACATATCTTTATGACTCAACTACAGATAGGATTGACTTCAGGTTTACACAGGCATTTATCAGCTCAGTGCCTTCTAACACACTTTTCTCCTTTGGAAAACATTCCCATCTCACCTCCTTCTGCGCACAAATTCATTGCATCATTTGTGGGGGAAAGAGTACAAAAAAAATTTACTTGCGATGAATAAACACACAACTACCATTAACGAACGTCAACTGTTAATTTTAGGCTCATTCACTGAATAACAGTTGTTATGACCATCGGTACTGCAGACAATGTTGCTTGTTTTCTTTTTGGACAGCAGCCTGGATCAATAGAAGCAGTTTTCAGGTTTTGTGAAGTAATGAGCCTTCCATTTGGTGACTGGCTCTGCACTGTCTGTCCAAAAACAGGAAAAACAAACAAACAAGAGACAACAGGAGGAAAAACTGCTCTTCAAAACAGAACAAAAAATCTCCATTTCAGCTCACCATTACTGTTGTGGAGATTGTTTCTTCGTGTTTTGCCAAGATCTAAATCCTGTGCTGCTGGTTTGGAAAGCGTATTAAGTGGTCTTCCAACAAACAGACAACTCTACTGCTATAATGACAACTGTGAGCTGACAACTGAGGCAGATTAGACTAATCTCAAGATTTAGAGACTATTACGAAAACCACCAAGACATGAAAACCTTCAATAAAATAGTAGTCTCTCGTTTCCTAATATGTGGTAAATATTTGACTAGAAGTAGGCAGAAAAAGCTCTTTTCTTCCCTTTAGAAAATGAACTAAAATAATCAAGAATGAATTCTTTCTGAATTAGATTTCTTAATTGTAATTACTACTCTTACATCTGATCCAGGAAGATAAAGGTATGAGATCAGTCATAAAGCCGTATGTGTCAGATTGATAAATCAAAGACAGAGATCCAACCATTCCAAGCTCTGAACAAGCAAATTCAGTTCTGCTCACTAAAAACCTTGCCAAGTCCTACCTGGAGGAAAACATTCAGAAGAAGAGTCTTTGGTGGCAATCTCCCAACCAACAAACCATCCTCCCACCCAAAATGACATCAGCTGCCATTTGACTCATTCTTTCTTGCAGTCCTTACCTTGTCAATGCTGGCTTGCCTGCACGGGAATGAGAAGGTGAAACCCAGAGGTAGGCGGGCGCCTTTAATCCCCATATACTCCAAGAAGTCTGCTATGCACTGGACTATATGGTCAAAGAGCTGGAAGGGCAGAAAAAACATGCCACATTTGCTCCCATGCACTGGGGCTCAGTTGGATCAATTAAGTGTTCTTTAGAAGTTACCTCTTCCCCTGTCCCTTGCATGATCTCCAAAGGAATGGCAAATATTTTATTATACATTTGTACTGATCTCCTTCTTCCACTTCTAATTTTGACGAGCAAAACCCTGAAATTTGTCCCACCAAGATCAAGGGCAAGGTATTTTCCATTCTCTGTAAGAGAAGAAAGATATTTCATTTTGGTGCTTCTTGTAGCATGTTTTCCAGTCAGAATGCTATACTCTGCCAGACATTTGCAAGAAACTTCACCCAGGTCAGTGACAGCACACTACTCCTTATGGCATTTATCCCATCTGTATGTTAGGCCAGGGGCTAATGGACCAGCCAGGTAACACTGCAGGAAACATTGGTTTGCCAACAGAAATTGTGTCATTTGCCAGACAAGCAGCTTTCCTGCACCATCTCCAGGCAACCAGGTAATAACCTTACCTGTTCCATCCGGTGTCCCACAGACATACGTGGGCAACATCTTCACTGTAGCCCTGTCTTGTGTCTCTCTCTTTAGCCCATACTCCAGCTCGGTCCTCATTTTGTTCTTTACATCTCTGAGGGTCTCCAGGGATAGCAGGAAAGGTGCAAGAACAGCATCAATTTGCTTTCGCTGAGCGGCCAGCCTGTATGCCACTGCTGTCACCATGGCAGCCCCCTTTGCACTGCCACTCTGAGAGAGGAGGAACCGAACGTCACAATTTGGGACCAGCCTTCTCACCACCTTGTGCAGGCGTTTAGGATATCTACAGGAATAAAGAACATTTCACACAAGGCTTGCTTTGCATTTGCTTCTAATGCACGTGCACATTCAACACTGCAAGCACTGAAGCGCCACCAGAGGAGCACAGAGTCAGAAACAAGACAGACACAATACTTCTGGTTTCTTGCTGTTCTGCAGAAGCTGTGTGCTTACAGGAATGTGAAGATACCTCTAAACTAGTGTGAGTGCCTCGGGGGAAAAGCCAGGCAAGAATGGAGAGCCCACCATCAGAAAGCAGATAATAAGTCTTCAGAGTAGGAGAAATGTAAGCATAGGGGAAAAAAAAGAAGGAAACAATGAACAGCAAGCGTTGTGGATGCTCAGGAATCACTTGGAAAATCAATTGCTCTTACTCAGGTGCCAGTCTGCCATGTCACATTGTTCCCTCCCCCCGTCCCACCCCAATCTCTAAAGCTCTTCAAGCAGCCTTGCGATAATGAGATCCTCTACATTCCACCACATCTCATCCCAACCCTGCAGCAAAACAAGCTCTTCTCCAAAAGCCATATATATATGCAGGTGGAGACACTGCAATACCAACACGGGTCCAGCAATTATCGAACCCTCTTTATCTGCTTACTGGGGGTGGGTTTTATAGAGTCCTCCATCAATCCCAACAGTGGTTCGCAGCCGTAGCAGTTTTTTATTCTCTCTCAGTCGGGTCAGTATGGCTGCTAGGGCTGCAGCACAGAGATTGGCTGAGCGGAAGGACACGATGGTGCAGACACGCTGAACGGCAATGCAGTCGTCTTCAGAGGGAAACAGGTTCAGCTCTGTGAGGATCTCTTTCGTGTTGCTCAGACCTTCCTTGTATCTAACCCAAAACAAAGGAAAGGATCACCTAATGCAAAGATACTAAGGCAGCACTTAAATCAGTATCTGCATGTTGGCTCAGACAAGTGAGAGAAGACCAAGGTACAGCCTACTGAGCAGTGTCATAATTGGTTCCATAGATCAGTAGTGCCCTTTCCACACTATTCCCAGAAGCATCTGGGAGAGAGACCAGACTTTTAAGAGGCTATTCAGTTTTATGCAAGACATACAGAGAGGCTGGCCAGGTATGGAACAGGATAAATATTTAGTTCATAGAAGAAGAGCACAGCAGCTTCACTCAGTACAAGGGAAATTATTCCTGAAGTAACAGTGTAGATCAAGATTCAGTTTCCCATGCAGCCATCCATTAGATGACCTGGAGCATGCCTTGCCCATCCACAGCCCTAATATTTAAACATCTGAAAACTGCTGAAAAATCCCCCCACGCGCTCAGGTCTCCAAATAAGTTCTTTACACAGAGAACCTGTACTCTGTGATGGTTAACAATACATTTGCTACTGTGATATTTTGTTAATACCCAATCCTCCATCACTTCTACTCACAGAAGAATCCATTTTTCTCTTAGGCAAAAGTAAAATCAATTTGAACAGTTCACGATCAACTCCCAGCACTCCCTGATTATGAAACATTAATTATCACTGCTCTGCTTGTGGAAATTTAACAGCACCTCTGTTAAAGGGCATATCTCAGGCCCTTACTTTTCCATTGCAGACACATGTTTCATTTCAATCTTGCCCTTAGTAAGCAGAGCTGCTGATGCTTTTCCGTTGAAGAGCAGGCCTTCCTTTGTCATTTTAAGAAGAATGAGTCTTACAAGTTCCCCCAAATACAGGCTGCTGATCATCTTCTCAAACCTGGAATGGGAAGCAAGAAGGATTAGAAAGCGCCCACAAGCTCACCAAAGCCTCCACAACTTCAAGAATGTTCTTATGCAGGTTGATCTCATTTAAGCGTCTGCATAGGGGACCAGAAGATAAGCTGTGGATGTGATGCCTTCCTGAGGTCCTGGGACCCAACTCCAGCTCAAGATAAGTAATCAAAAAGACTATTCAAAAACCAGAGCAACAACCTATTTTTCATGACACGTAAGTGACTGCAGCAGCAACCCTTTGGGCTGGGAGGCAGAGAGGTGTACCCACCTTCTCAGAAACCCACCCTTCCCTGAAGAGAAAGATCTGAATAGGAAAGGACCAAGGCCACATTTGTTAGGGTTTGCTCAGCTGCATTCCTGTTCCAATGGGACTCCTGGGAAATGCCAGAAATGCACTCAGAGAACTCAGATGGCCAAAGCAAATCAAATCAAGGGAATCACTTACAATTGTTTTCCAGGATTGAGAGATCCCAGATCGAGTTCCCGATCAAACTCTGTGCGGAGGTCATCCAAAGCACCATCATCTCCAAAAGCACCCCACTCTGTGTTAATGCACATTCTCCCTTCATCACCTTCCACCAAATCGATGTGCCTCATATCCTCCATGTAGCATGCATTGGTGCCAGTCCCTGTTTGTGTTAGAGCCAGTGTGGTTAAATTAGCTGTTTGCCTCAGGCTTTTTGTTTTAAGCCCACATGTTTGCAAGTAAATCAATATATCGCCTTTGAAAGAAAATACAAACACATAACCCAGTGGTAAGGATGTTAATATCAAGCCACCTGTACTTGTTAAATATTCATTTATCAATGAGTGAAAGTGTGAGAAATTCATCTAAGGTTTGACTTGTTTAAAATCATCTTTTCCCCTATCTCAAATGTACTTCCATGTGCCTTTAAAGAGTCACCAATTTGTGTGAAGTGGAAGGGTTATGGAAAGCCTAGCTGATCCTAATTACTAGACGTGAGATGAATTCAGCTTTCTCTGGACAGACAGACAGTAATTTTCTATGCAGTCAGCAGAAAAGTTTAGTTTGCTGGTCACAACTGAACCCAGACAAAATGGGGACTGTGGTATTTGATGGCAATGTGATCAGCATAAAAACAGCTGCTTTATAAAGGGCAGCCGTGCTTGAAAATCAGCCGCTGTTTTTTTCCACTTCCTTCCTGCTCCTTCCGTTACTGGGACACTCCCTCCTACTCAAGATTCATTAGGATTAACCAAACAAGGAAAAAGACAGTGCATAGTGAGCACATAGTGAGAAAAAATTACCAATTATGAGTCCAATTTCACAGCGTGGGTCATCGTAACCACAGGTCATCATGGTTCCTACAGTGTCATTGACCATCGCCAAAACATCGACGTCTATGTCCTAACAGCAGGAAGATGAGCAATTAACAGAAAAAAACTTACAAAGCCTTTGTACTTGATTACTTTAGGAAAACTCTTCCCTTTAAAGAAACATTATTTCCTTTACAACATTATCCCTACAACGCTGTAAAGCAGAAGATATCTGAGGATTTTCAAGTGATGAGCCAGACAGGATCTTTGGTTGCATGACTTATTTTCATGTGATTCATCCCTTTTTACCAGAAGAGCAACATCTTTGGTTTGAGCCCTGTGATATTCTAACACTGGTGTGGCTGTCCTTACACTCTGCATTGTAGCAGCTCGATCAGGCTCAAACAATGTCCCTCCTCAAGAGCAGACCCCAGCAAAGTGACAGATTGACAACTGACACCGGGCAAAACTGGCAGTAAAAGAAGACATAAATGTAACTACTCAATGCAAGGCTGTGCAGCAATGTCACACATGTGCAAAAAGCTTTTCCAACAGAGCTGTGCAGTTCCCTTATCACACCAAGGTAACTTGATTAAGCATGGTCAAAGTTATCTATTGCATAATATCTATTATATCTATATATATCATATATCTATAATATCTATTGCAAAATATCTATTGCAGAAATATCTGCAACATGGATGCCAACATAAGCAGGGGGCTAGACTTTACCCAGGAAGGCTCAGATCTTTTGTTCTTACTAACTACAAGTCTGATGCAGAGAAAGAAGTGAACCAAAATTAAAGCTGTATTTTTGCCATGTGAGAAAACAGAAGACCTACTACAAAGATGCCAAGATATGATTTTTCTTAGATTATGATACCAATAGCATGGAGTATGAAAAACAAGACTTCACAAAATATTAAACAGCATGCTATTTAAAGGAATACACTAGTTTAAAGGCAGATTTAATCAAGTTTTACTGTGGTCTTCAAAAATTACCATCAATCACTCCATCCCTCTGAGGCCCACAGCCAGATCTACTCAATGTACAGCCATGTTGAATGCTTGCTACTGGCTGCCCTTGGAGAATGTCCAACAATTTGCTGAACAACCCACAGACCAAGAGAAGATTAGCCACTCAGATTCAGACACAGAACTTGCCTTATGTTTCTGGAGGGCCTTGCGCAGAGAGCTCGCCACATCTGTACCCTGCACTCCTCGGGCCTTGAAGTGTTTCGTCCAGGAAAGAAGGACTCCCTGCGAAGTAAAACTTCAGTGACCCAAAAGTTCTAGCTTTGGTATGCAAACCTGTGGGAAGACTACTATGTCTCTACACACATAAATATTTAGGCAAAAAGAAGTCACAGCAAAAGATCTCAACCTCAGCTGGGTGCATGTCAGCAACTAAATGGGCATAGAAATGAAGTCCCAGTCTTCTAAATGCACCTCCCTGTTCTTTGTTTAAAGCATGCATGGTTTTATCAGTGTTTGTAACACACTAACAGGATAAAGCACAAAGCATTTGTAGGACTGGAACCCAAAGCACAGATCCCAAGAAAGAGAAGAAAAACTATAATAAGAGGCTACAAAGTATTTGTAACCAGCTCTTCCTTTCAAGCAGCTCTGCTACGGGTCTTTCCTAATTACTGTCACTTGTAAAAAGTACTGAATGAGAAGTGATCAAAAAGGAAGGATGGACCCAAAAATATGTGATTTAAAGGCCAGCAGACTTCATACAAGCACATGGTTACTATGGAATATTAATTAAGCTAAATAATAAAGATTTTGTTGCCCTGAGATAGTGGATAAGTCCTTGAATGGTAGTCGACTGTAATTAAATGGCTCATCCATGCCTTCTTCAGAGTGCTATGGATAGGCAATACCTCAAAAAGGCTATGAAGTAACACTTCCATGCAATAGCTTCTAAGGATTCTGCAACAAGCTATGCTTGCCATTATCTTTTTTGCACCTTACCTCTTCCAGTTGGGTCTGTTTGCATGGAAAAGAGAACGTAAAGCCAAGAGGTAACTTCTTATGCTTCAGGTTTCTGGACTCCATGAAATCTGACAGACAGTCAGCAACATAACTGAAGAGCTGGGAGAGAAAGGAGAGAACAGAATCGGGCTTTGACTAGCAGACATTTCCTGGAGCATGGCACCACCACCAAAGACCTTGCATGGCCTACCTCTGCTCCACTGCCCTGTATGACTTCCTTTGGTGTAGGGTAAAACTTGCTCTCCAGTTGGCTGCTCTGTTTCCCATCATTAAACACCTTCACCTCAAGGGCACGAAACTGGGAGCCACCCAGGTCAACGGCGAGGAAATCACCCTTCTCTGCAACACAAGTGGGCAGCCATCAGTGGTGATGGCTAGCAAGCAAGCCCCACTGCAGCAAGAATCCCCCAGAAGGCAGCTCAGAGCTCCTGCCTCACCATGACCACAGGATCTCTCCCCTTTGAGTCAGGGACCACCACCAGGAAAGCTGCAATCCCGCAATGCCCCAATTTATTTGTTCTAGCAACCTGGTTTGCCTACTCTGCTCTTGTCACAGCAGCACGTTTTTAAGCTGGAGGAGGATGAACTTTGCAGAAAGAAAGGCCCAAGGACAGTTCCTACTCACTACTACAATAAAGCACTATCTATCCACCCCACATGAAAAGGAAAGGAAAATGCATGTCATAGCCCTGCATGATCTTTGTTCCATGGTCCAAGCACCTGATTAAAACTCATCAAACATGACCCTGAGAGGGAAGGAAGCAGGAAATTACATCTGTAATATCACAGCTACATATGATAGAGGTGATGAGACAAACTGGTTACTCAGTAAACTATGACATTAGTCAGATCATTAATCTCTAAATCATTAATGATGCTTCACACAGGTCATTCCAGGTAGTAATACTGTGGGCAGTGAAAAATCTGCAAGTTCACTGCTATTGCAAATGGCATAATCCAGCCAAGTTTGAGGTGTCTGAGCCTGCTGGAAGTTTTGTTTGGAAACATAATAACCAATAAGGAATTCAGCAAAGAAACAAAAATAGAAAAATCAATGTCATGCCTAAAATGGGTGTATCATGAACACATAGCCCAACATGACACCAAAGTACGTCCTTGGGTACAGAGGAACGGCTACACAGGCCAAGAGACCACTGTCCAACGTTGGCCTTGAGGAACACAAAGTTTTGCAACAATGCTGACATGACACGTAATTTCCCAAGTCTCCTGACCTGAGGTGCTCCCTGCAACTTCCGGGTAGGATCAGTGTCATACGAGACCGTAGGACCCCAGGGCCACAGAGGTAACAAGGACTCAGCTAACATTTAGTTTTCTTCGGTGAAGGCTGCTGTCAGAGGAAGGGCACTCAACTCCAACCAGGAACTTTCTGAGGAGTTAGGTCTAGACATCCCTAATTTCAAAGGACTGCCATGAAACTTTGGGCTACCACCAATTGTTCCCTTTATGCCATAAAAGCTATTATTTCTCATTTAACCGTGAGAAGATTAACTTCAGGAGGAATCAGTTCCTTTGGGAATGATGTACAGAGCAGCATTTCTTACATTTCTCTGCATCAACAGGTGTTATGCACTGCATCCTCACTTAAGCCTTACAAGAATTCAAAGACTCGGTTATACAGAAAAAAATACAAACCAAATTATGTTACTTAGGATAGAAAATTATCTGTCAGCGTGCACTGCTGGCACCAGCTGAGCCAGGAGCCTCAGAGCTACCTTGGGTGTGCACGTCTCCAAGCAGAACTGGCTTTTAGATCCTATAGCTGGGCAGTGACAAGAACCAGCAATGCTCACTTCCCCACACCTGCAGCACGCTGCACTGCAGGCTCCGGGCTGTAGAGGCTGCCCTTGCCACATCCAGACACAGCTCCTGCTACTAGGCCTGCAATAGGTACAGCCACATTTGCAGACCGAAGAGGCTGCTTCCTAAGATCTATAACTACACCTTTCTCTCCAAAAAGCAGCGCTTGGCCTAAATGCATCTGGTGTGAGGAAAAAACCCTGCCAACACCCACAAGTCTCCTCAGCAGACATCTGCTTGCTGAGCATGAGTTAAGGCAGTCAACTAGGGGACCGGCTGCCCTGTGCTCTTGCTGCGCTGTCCTTGAGTACAAGCAACAACCCATCTTGTTCCCTAAACCAGCACTGCTGTGGGAGCAGGGGGAACTCACCTGAGCCATCAGGAAGCGAGCGCACTAATGAAGGCAGCATTTTGACTGTCGCTGTGGGGTTGGTGTCTCTGCCCAGGCCCTTCACCATCTCAGCCCGGAAGCGAGCCATCACGTCCAGCAGGACATCGTCAGAGAGACGCATGTGGTACAGGTACCTGTCAACCTGGCAGCAGGGAAGGTGTTACTTGGAAGGCACGCAAACTGCTCGGTGTTCAGCAGCTGGCTGTCAGGGCTGCTGCTTTCATGAGCCTTACTGACAGAAAGTAAGCCATCTTTTCTGATGGACCAATAACTTCTGCCCCACGTACACCCACAAGTCTCCCTACATCCCGACAGGCTGTTCTTACCCCATCTTTTCCTCCTGTTCACATAATGAACTAGAACTGCAAAGCTGGTGAGGATCTGACCCATCTGAGTCAGGTCCAGAAAATGCCGTCAGTGCCCAAGCGTGTCGGCTACAGTCTGAAAACATCTATTCAGCTACTGCTTCACTCCACAGACAATTAACTTTGCTGGCATGCCAGGCTGGAACTCAAAGCCTTTTTCTCACCCCAGTTCTGCCCTCTGTTCTCTGTGATGTTAGGATTACATCCAGAAAACAATTCTGGGTGCAGTAAACATACTTAAGAGTGCGTTACTCACAACATACGATCAAAATAAAGGCCAGATGAATTAGAGGGAAATAGAGGATCTAAGAAGTGGCACTGTTTAAACAAAGAAGGCAGGCTGTGGATAAACTGGCCTATCCTGTAACTGAGTGGCCACCCATGTTAATGAGGCACAAACCAATTACCTGGTTACATATTCACAGACCTGTTTTAAATGGATGGTCAGCAGTGACCCATTTGAGAGTGTCAGCCCCCTGGAAATAATGCAGGCCTTACCCAACAGCAAGAGAAAGACAAACTACAAGATGCCATTGTCAAGAAGCAGCAATCGCCTTAAGACACAGCCATGCCTTGAAAGGACCATTATTTACATATTTCTCTGTAGCCCCAGTTTGGACACCACTGGACTACCTCTAGGGCTTTCCTGAGGCCCTGCCACTGTGCAGGATTCACCATCCCAGCTCAGACACTATGCTTTCTTGGGCATACCGAAAGAAGGAAACACAATGACTCAAGGTATGCAGCAGCCATGCACTCTCACACAGGCCCACATAACATTCTGAGATAATTCCTTGAGGAAATAAAACTAAAAAGCAATAAAAATGCCCACGTTTGTATTTGCAGACACCACATACAAGCTCTCTGCACTCCATGGAAATTGTGTTCTCTGCCCTGTTTACCTACAGCCATAGAAGGAGAAAATCCTCTCCAAGGAGCCAGATAAGGCGCAGCCTGCCTGCTCTCTAGCTTGATTTACAACCAGAACAAAGGCACACTACCTTATCAGTGGTTTACAAATGCAGGAATGGCCAGGTCATGCAACACCAAAATTTGCTGCACCACCTCCCTTCCAGCACAAGTACAGTCCTTGTTTTTAAATGTGTCACCTCAACATAGAATCAGCAGTGTTTTCATGGCAGAGAGGCTCTTGCTCTTGACACCAGAAGGCAAACAAGCCAGGGTCAGATAGGGAGGGAGGCACTTCTCTTTAATTAGAGAGAAATCAGCTCTGCTCCATACTGCCTGCACTGAGCTTCCTTCCTAAGAAGCCTCTGCACGGCAGTACATTTTCTTGCCTTCAGGCAAAACTAGTTTGCACCTAGCAAAAAGATCTTATTTTTCTAAGAGCTTCACAGAATGTTTCTGCCCCTCTCTCCATTGTCCCCACTTCAGGAAAACCCTTCCTCAGCCACACACACTGGGCGTTTCTTGTAAGAGCCCGTTCTACCCAAGCAGTGCACCACAAGGCCTCTCTGTTTCTTTGTAAAGACATAGGGAAAAAACACACTGTCCAGACAAGAGATCTTAGATCTGGTTTTCAGGGGCACAAGGGCCCCCTTCTGATCACATGGGGACAAAAGGGCTGTGGCCATCAGAGACATCTGACCTTCATGTGTAAGCACAGGCACAGTGAGGACACCCCAGTGCTGCTCACCCTGCCACGGAGGCAGCATTACCTCCTGCCATGCACCTGCACACAGCCCCACCTCCAGCTGGCCGTAAAACTAGAGGACAGGGCTGGGTGGTGACAGCCACAAAGCACTCTGTGTAGACGCCAGGAAAACAGAGCACCCCTGAGGATACGTCTAGAAACCACAGTGCCTCTAATTCAAACTTACAGGTCCCACGTGGTCTTATGATGGAGGGACAACAACCCGCTGCAGCCCAGCCATGAAAGCAAATGGGAAAAGCAACCACCAGGCAGTTCACTTTCAGTACTGACAGCTTCTGATCTGGTTTACTTTTAGCTTTCCCACTTCTAATTCCACCACCACTACTTGGAACTGTGTATTGAATCACAGAAGACCTGTTCCAAAGCCCCCAGGAGATCTTCCTATCCTTCCTATCATGGGGGTGAATCAGGCACCTACTCAGATTTAAAAATCCCATCCTCCACACTACTCACAAAGCAACTTAACGAAAGGTCCTTCCTGCCCTCTGGACTACACCACACCGTGCCGGGTCAAGTTTAAATATCATTTTTCCTTACTGAAGATCATTTGTTCCATTGCAATTTATAATTGTGCAGGGAAAAGCTCTAAGCAGACCTATTTTCACAGTCATCAGATGTATGCAAATGCTTCTCATGCCATTTGCCTCCATAGTGGCAGTAGAAAAAGCCATAACCTAGCCTGCATTACACACTGCAGACCCTGCAGAGCATAACAGTTCTGAAAACAGGTTACTGCTCTAACTTACCTTTTTTATTTGATCCTCCTTTAGCTTTGCAAAATGGAAAGCTAGCAAGTGGACGGCGAACATTTTCTCAAGGCAGATGGAGGTGTCAGTAGTGACAGCTGCTGTTGAGTAATTCCAAAGCGACGCGTCTTTATCCACTAAGCTGGAGCTAGAGAAACTTCAGCTGAGGCATTTCCCCCAAGGCGAAACAGTGGAGTTCCTGGGAAATTGAGTCCAGAAATAAATCCATCCAGCGTGATCGGTTCAATGATTAAACTTCTGTCTCTTTGTATCTCCCCCACCATCACCCCAAAGTCCCTCCCTCTCAGCTACGCGCTCCATTGTGCCCAAGCAGGCACCTGGAGATCTGCCAAGCTGAAGGGGAGAAAAATCAATTTTGTTACAGCCACACTTAGGAATGATAACCACTTTGCCACGCAGTTGCTATGCACCCAGCCTGCCCTGCTTACTTTGCTTCCTTCCCCTTGGCTGACAGCGGCACAGCACAAAGTGCTGCAGGGAATCTGGAAAGCTGAGAGAGGATGTTAGGTTTCTTGCCTCTGCTTGGCACTCCCACTTGCACTCTTCTGCATGAATTAACTCCTCTCTAGTCCCACACAGTGCACCCTTATCTCCAGCCCTTCTCGATTAAGCTCCAGCCACGGTAAGGAGGGAAGGCACGAAGCCCCCCACCCCCAGCTGAAACACCTCTTTCGCAATTCCCAGCCCAGAAAGGTTTTGCACGGATTACCCTCCCTTCAGCCCTCCTCTGGAGGCAAAGTTTCAGGCCAGTGCAGATCCTCAGTGTTGCAAAACCTGGGGAGAGAACAGACTTACCTGGCAGCCAGCAGAGTAGATATCAGACTGTGGCACTCAGTGCAACAAGCACCTTTAACTGGCAAAGCACAGTTTGCTTGTGGCAAAACTGCTTCCTTGCGCTATCAGAGTTGAATCTGACACAGCCTTTAACCATTACTCTTCAGGTTTACCCTTAATACACAAGTGCTTCCAGTGTTTATCACTAATGAAAGATACAAAAAGAGCTGAGATATTGACCCAGGGAAAGGGGAAAGAAAAGCATTGGCATGGAGCAATGGGAGGCTCACTAAACTGCTCCTACAGTCTGTGTGCTTCCCCCAGCAGGAGCGCTTACTTCACTGGTAGATAATCTAAAATAACCCACCTAAAATTCTGCAGAAAAATATCACAATCCAAAATTCCATTGATAATTCAGAATGACAGTCTTGGGAAGGGATAAGTGGGAGCTGGAAAGGTGCGACGTGCTGAGCAGTGGGAGAGATCACAGAAAGATACTGCTTCAGCTGCTGTAGGGAACCTGCTTTAGCAGGGGTTGGACTCAGCGATCTCTAGAGGTCCCTTCTGATCTCTACAGTTCTGTGATTCTGTAGTAGGCGAAATCAAATATGGTTACACAGATCCACAACAGGGCAGAAGTGGCCAGTTAGCAGAAAAAGATCTTAGGCCATGCCGTGTCGTAGCCTAAGAAGGACCCAACAGTCTCATGCTACTGTAAATACATATGTATATGTATGCATACGATTTAACTGAGCCATATGAACACAGGAGAAAATCCACAGACATGCAATACTTCAGCTCTACCCAGCACTGGTCTCACAAAGACGATTCTACCCAGTTCTGGCAGCTTCAAGAACACACAGATCAGGAGATAAGCTCTGCTGAACATCAGAGCAGCCAAGGTTACAGTTGTTCAAGTCTCTCATCACAAGGAAAGACTTAAAGAGCTGAGGGAAGGTAGAGAACAGCCCCACAGAGACAAATTACACAAAAGCTCTGCTAGGAAAGGTTGAGGCCTTTTCTATTCCTTTTGCATGACTTGCATCAGGGATTAGCCCCAGACACCAGGAGATCCCAACAGCTGTTTATTTTCCACTATTCTAAAACAAGAAAAGCAAGAGTAAAGCAAAGGGGCTGAACAGTTCATAAATAGGGCTTGGTCTAAAATTAGGCTTTTGATCTTCAAGAGAAAGGGAAAAAAGGAAGAAGAAAAAAAGCCACACTACCAGCCAGAAAGCACGGTTCACTTCTCCTGCATTCATCTTCCAATAACTGCCGGCTCGTTAAGTCAGACACTGACTCCCAGAGGGACTGTCTCTCTCCTCATTGTTTACCCACACCACCCGAGCCACAACCCCTCTGGCCAGCAAAACTGAAAACATCACCTTTCAAGCTCCATCCCACTATGATCCACAGCTCATTGTGACTGTAATACGTAGATTTATTTCTCATTCTCTCTTTTCTTTTTTTCTCTAACAGATGCCACTGAAAAAGGGTCTTAAAGAGCTAAATGTTACAGAGCTGGCAGCAAGCACTGTCAAATACGTGATGTGTCAGATCCACTGCATGAATCAATTGCTCATCTGTGGTGCATCCTAGCTTCAAGGAAGCTGTTGTGCACAGAAAGACAAGATATTGTTTCATTGCCATGTAGGCAGCAGTTCGGTGTTGTAAGGACTGAATTCCCAACTACATAATGGCCATTTTGTATGTATTCTGGCCAACAAATGGGAAACAATCCTGAACAGATAGGCTCCCCTTGCCTGCCACACAGAGGCTTGGGGCTTCCTCCTTCCCCTCTCACAGCAGAGAAAGCATCAGGCTGCAGAATTAATGCAGAACACCTGAGGCAACCAACCAGAAAATGCACCCCAAGGACAGGCAATATTTAGAAGAGATGGAGCCAGCACAGACAGAAAAAAGTTCATTGGCTTAAGAGAAAGGCAGCTTTGTTTTTGCCTTTACCAAACAGCACTGTTAGCATCATCTCCCATTAAAAGTACAACAGCTAAACACATACACACACACACAAAAATTAACTGTGAAACTAATAAATTTCCAAACATCTGAAAGTTGAATGACTGAAATTAATCTGGAAATCCGAGCACTTGAAACAAAGTACTGCAAATGTGATTCCCAAATCAAATGAACAATGTTGCTGCTGCTGTTTAGAAAAACCACTTTCCAGCTCAGCCCCCCCAAGAAGAGCCACTCCATCTCCCCCAGGGGCTTGCTTGAACACGGAATGTTCATGATGCACAGCATGCATACCTCTGCACTGCACCAGTCCGGATTTACCACGTGGGATCCATTTGGCAGCCATACTAACAACAGCCAATGACAGTCACATCATTAGCTCAGAAGAAAAGAAAACTTTCGTAAAAAGTCAGCCTGGAAACGCCTGAATACACTTCAGAGCTCTTGTAACAGTTACTATGGAGTCACTATGGATACAAGCCACCAGTTAAGCCAAGCACTAATCTCACCAAAATACAAAAAAGAATGCTTATAGGCTTTTTGCTTCCGTATTGCAAGACTGGCTTACACCCCTAGACCCAGCCACTCTTTCCTTGCTCAAAATATATGCTAGCATCAGCTACGCATACAATTAAAGGGTACATTCATCAAAACAGTCTAGAAGCAGCCCACGGGCAACATGAATCTCCTGCAACCCACATCCATAGGGACAGGGGAAAGAAGAGGGGAGTCATCCTCACACAAGTGTTGCATGCTGTGCAAGCTGTGTTGCTTTTAGGCAGAGGCCGTCATGAATCTGGGAAGCAAAGCAGAATTACTCGTCCTCAAGCCAGAAAATTCACAACATGTTCATGGCCTCAGCCATACATACATAGCTGCTTATTTTTTCCTTGGAGGAGGAAAGAAAGATGGGGCTTTGCAGAAGAACAGGAACACTTCCCCCTATGATGGTTTGGCTCTGAAATCGGCATGAAATCACATGGACTAGCAACATTTATGCACTGCTTGCATTTTAGTAAATAATGCAAAAAGCGTGTGTAATACATTGAGAACAGCTGTGAAAAACTGTTAGCACACACTCAGCTGCTGCAACACAGTTGTCTCCATGCAACCACAGCAACAGCTGAAACCTCCTTCTGTGAACACACACTGCAGCCTCAGCATCCAACTCTTTCCAGTCCCCATTACCTCAACGGAGAGCTCAAGGGGCTGCTTCCACTACAAACATATGCCAGGGCAACAGAGCACAGGCGTGTGTGTGAAAGCAGAGCCTGGTGTTGCACTGCCTTAAACGTTATTGAGTGACACTGTGTCAGCAGAAAAGAAAAACAAACAGCTTCCTGAGAACTTGATTCCAGCAAACTACACTTTCCACCCAGCAGTAAGCATCTAGGTTTCCCACCAGCCATAATAAAATGTAAAATGGGTACTTAGGAATGGTACTGGCACGAGTACCAAACCTTACCTGTTATAAAAGCTCAATGAACAGTCTATAGTTTTAAGTGAAGTATTTCACACATCTCCCCTCCAAGTCCACCTGTCACAAACAAGCTAGAATGTGAAGCAAAAAAAATATATCATTCATGAAGTGCCACATAACAAAATTGCTTCTATAAAACTGAATTAGCAGAAACAGACATGAATGTCTCAGAAATCAATTACACCTATGCCTCTAACATCTTCACCTTTCCACCAAAAAATAATCACATAATTTTTTTCCCCCAAAAATTTGCCTTTTAAATTTTTTTAGCAAAAAAATAAAACTCAAAGAGCAAGGACAGGTTTAATTACCCATCACACAACAGAATTTACCTGAAAAAAATCCTGTGACCAGGATTTAACCCCCAAGAATTAACACAAATGCTTTTTGCCTCCTCCCACATTTTCACAAGACACAAAGGTTAAAAGCACATAACTCCTATCACCATTCTGACCAATTTCCTGCCAGATTGCTCATTATCTGCTAAACTCTGCCCTTTGAGAAGGTATGGAATGAGTAGCTAATTCATTACCAGTGAAATATCTGATGTTTATTAATGATGTGAGGATATATTTTAAGAAGGCATCAGGTTCAAATTTTCACAGAGCAGTATATCATACACCGTTGCTGAACACCACAACTGAAGTGTACAGCAGATTGCTAAAAACAAAGGTAGGCCTCTCAGCCTACACGAGTGTATTTCTCTGAATGCTTCACATAACTAGTCACAAGTGGAGGAAAAACATCAAGGAGCTGCATCAGCATAAACATGAAATGCCATAGAAGTTATTAAAATAGCATTTTATTTTAAGAATAAAAACTAAACAGAGTCAGGACATGGATTCTATTTTTTCTTTTTTCCCATTTCCTTTGAACTACTCTGGTCATTTCTTTTTGAAGCAAGGCCATATCTACCACTCCTGTGCTGATCCTGCCACTCGCTCTCCAGCTGTCTCAGCATCTCTTGCGTTAGAAGTCCTTCACGTAGCAATCTGTTGGCAAGAGATCCACGCCTGTGGCTTTTCAGATCCTCCTGCCTTGTGGCAGACCGATAGGTTCTCAAGCTCTTTCCTCTTCTTTCTCCTGGGACCTCTAGTGCAATGGAGAGCGGCTCTGTGGATTTTGCATCACGATGGTCTGAAACCGTCCTAGCATCTCTCTTAGTCCTTGAAAGAGGAAAGCCTTCTGACGTGACTTCTGCCACCCCAGAAGCAGCAGCAGACTGGG